TTCACTCGCACATCAACCTTTACGACCTGCGTCAACGTCTTCCTCGATCTGTTATCGCGAAGTTGACATTATTTTATCGATAATTTAAAAATATCGTGTCTCGTGACGATGCGCTAATTTACGATCCTTAAACACGATATTTTATGATCGGCAAATCGCGATTTCTAGTACGTGGTCTTTTTTTACAATACGCTCCTTTAACGTGTTACTCGTAGAAATGAAAAATTGCCAGCAGAATAAAAATAATTATTCATTCAAAAAATTCCAAGATGAATTATAGACAGAAGTTTGTATTATAAATTTTTGCTGATGAAATGTCAAAAAAATTACATATGTCATTATTTTATATATATCATTATTATATATATCATTATTTAATGCCAAAATGTTATCTTTGACTCGATTCGATCTTTCACCGAGATTACTGATGAATAACATTATTTTATTTATATTATATATAACACGTAGCATGTGTGAAATATATATACTCTCTTGATTTATGGTCATAACAACTAAATTGACATTAATCATAGCTTCGTGAATAATATTAGGACAGGCTAATGTGTTATAGTAAACGATAAACTTCTCGCAAAACGAGCTTTACGATTATAATAACATGTTAAACTATATTGAGTGTCAATCCATAATTATGGATTACCAGTTCGACAAGATTTAAAACATATCTAGATCATTTATATGCAAGCTCTTTTTTTCTTTTGCTCGAGATTATTAATATAATTAGAAAATTATTGTTAATCTCAGATTGGAAGACTAATTTTGTTCTTTTAATCTCAACGAAACATATATCTTCCTATTATAGAAACGGAATACATTCTTTGCATATATTGAATGAGCGTTAAGAATTGTGCAAGATAGTCGCCGAATATTTTTTATTCATGGTCAATCTTATCTGAAAATTAATTTTAATGAGAAAGGAAGCAGAGTGACGCATAATCTTATTCAGAAACATGATTCGTTAAACTTTTAATTAAATAAGAAGGAAATATTTGATATGCAAATATCTGTCTCGTCAAATTCAAGTATTTTAAACACGGCCAATCATGAAAAATTTAATAAGCATAGGTTTCAAATGCGTTAGTTTGCTATATCTAAAAATATTAATGCTTCTCAATCATAGATTAGTAATATTGATAAAATTTGAATGATTTTACATGCAATTAGAAATTTCGTCGTGTCGGTCTTTCCGACCAGCCATGCAGAGTGTTTGTTATCCTTGGAAAATAATCGGCAAAGGTCAGCAAATAAGTTTCGTGGATTGATTAAGGATACGACAATGGCTTCTGTCGATCGCACACCTACGCCGATGTGGCTTTACGTTACCCATGTACGTACATACATATTATCGTATGTGCGTGGAGGGATTTGCGGGCGTGTCATCGTATACGACAATGTATGAAAAGCACGAGAAAGACATTGCCTCCTACCATGACCTACTGACACACAAATAATGAAATAATCAAACGCCGATAACCTTACACGTCGTTATCTTCGTTAACAGGTGCCTCATCATATATCTATCTACGAAACTAAAAGTAAACTCTACAGCTTTCATATTTTCTCTGCTAATACGCGAAACTTTGCATGCATCTATATGCGTGCACATTATCTATGATCTATGATTATATAACTAATAAATATTACCGAGAAAATGCAAATCATCAAGATTCGATGCAATTCTACATATTTGCATTGGATCTGTTTACAATTAAGTTTTTAAATATATTTGAAGAACGTGGAAATTCGATCAAATCAATTTGAAGAATAAGATATTGTCATACTTTCTCTATGTGAAATCTAGAAATTTTTTATATAGTTGTAATTTGTATTTAATAATATTTATTATACATTTAATTGTAATATTTATATTTATATTGTTAATACATATATAATTATATATATATATATATATATATATATATATATGTATTAATAATCGATTTCAATAAAAAAAATCTATTCTAAATAATAAATCTATTCTAGTAATACTTAATCATTTTATAAAAATAATTTCACAATTAATATAAATACGTTTTTTCAAGCGAAATTTTCCTTAATCTTAACCTTAATTTGGATTTAATTTATATGCAAATTGAATCTTGACAGATTGATAAATATGAATTTTGACATGTCTTGTATGATTTAGTATTAGAGAGTTTCTCGAAGATATTAGTTAAAAAAGAAAAAAATATATTTAAAAAGTTAAAAACATACCTAGATTTTCAAAAATTTCTAAAAAAATTCTAAATCTCTATATTTTTTAAATATCTATTTTTAAATTTGATAGGAATTTTTAATTTGATACATTTTTCTTGAAGTATATCTCTTCACAAATCAAGCAACTATATACATTTATAGTGATTTAAAATATTACAATAATGTAGGAAACATTCGTCACAGATATTTTTTAGAAGAACAAAAGCAATGCATTATGAATTGTAATTTACATATATTTTATGCTCAAATTTGTGTGTTGTATACAACTATTGAAGAAAAATTTAGAAAAATTATTTTTATTGATATTTACGCATTACTATTCATGCGTTTGACTTTTAATTCCCCGAATAATTTAAATGATGTTTTTCATAGGAGAGAATTTCTTAATATTAATATTTTAATTTTTTAGTGTTAACTGCATTATATGTATTTTTATTCTGCGAAAACATTTAAAAACGTTTATCGTTGGCATTTAATGAGAAACGCATTAGTTATCTTCACGTAATAGACTAGTTAAGTTGTCCAGCGAATATCAACGTAACAAGCGTTTGCCGTATGCTAAACAAACAGTTTAATCGGCGACTAAAAGCGCGCAATTGTGCTTTATGTAAGTATGTATGTGTCAATTTTATGGTTACTTCTACAAAATTGCAATATATGATAGTATGATCATACACGTTGATTAGTATGTATTGCGCGACAAAAAAATATTCTCAACAAGTGGTACCGCGGCTCCTTGTAATTACTGATGAGTAGGAGAGTCTTTATCGAAAGGAAATAATCTTGCTTACGCCATTCCGGTGATTGGAACACAATTACTGAGATCACATCGGAAAAATTTTTTCGATCTAAGCCTTTAACGCAATTTATTATTTATCGCCTGAATGACTCTCTTGTGAGAGAGAGATTTACGCGCTCTTCGTTTTTTATCCTTGTCGTATCAGCTGCGAATGAATTTATCGCATACAATAATCGTTCGGTATCGTTACGGTCTTGTGAGCACACGAAATTAGTTGCTCTGAATGTGGCGGATGTCCGGTACAGCTTTTCATATCTTTCTTTCTCTAGAGAGGCGCGATATTGATTAGCGCTTTGTTATTTTATGTTTCAAGTGAATACGGAGATATGCATATCTTGTAAATTGACAAATTGACATATTAAATTACAGCATATATAATATGTGTCGTTTGTTGTGCAACGGAAAACTGAATATTTTATTCTCCGAGAATAAATATCTGCATAATTTTATAATATTATTACTAAACGGTTTCTCTCTCCTCTTATTACATATACATATCATACATACGCATGCACATAAGTCTAATTGTAAATCAGGATGTCAATAAATTCCAATAAATGAATGTTCATTTATAAAGGTGTAAGCAATAGCACAGCTCATAGTTCTATTACCGAACATAGATTGACATACTACTTTACAATTTTTATAAGCTACTTTTCACATTGGCCTCGTTTGCGTTGCACCCATCGAATGCGTAGAAATTCGTTTTATATTCAAAGTCATTCTTTCTCTGTGAGTGGCATATTTTTATTTTGTTAAAATATTTCTTCCTAATTTAATTTATGAATCTTGTTATTTTTAAATGTTACTATATTATATATTTAGAGCAAGAAGGGGGGCAAACTTATTAAACGAACATATTCTCCAATCTTTTCCCTTACATTATCATGACCGGCTGACCGATATTTGATTTTACCACAAAAAATTTACGGTAAATTTATGTTCGGGGAACATTGCAAACAGCATATCTTCGAAACTCATAAAATCGATTTAGCCATGACATACTTGCCGCTAATTCTCCAGCCGGTTCCGAAGCGCGCATTGCCGTTTACGATTTTATAGAATGATCTAACTCTGCTACTGATTACGCGCTCATACTCGATCAAGTTATTGCGAAGTGACAACTGGTTGAAAGGGAAATGCAAAATAATTTGTCTGTACGTGTCTGTACGTTTCTTCTCTCTTTTCCGGTTTCAATAAAACCTATTTGGCGTGCGTCATGCAAAATGACGCATCGCCGTTTTATTAATATTCGTAATACTTTGAAATTAGTCAATAAATCAGCGGATTTATTAAGCGAACAGTCTCGTGCAGAAACGTTTTATTATCATGACTAATATGTTAGAATCAAGGAAGCGCTGATGCATCCCACATTTAAGTAAAAGTGAGGGGACGTTCAAAAAGAGAAAAGAGCACATCTGGTGGCCGATACTTCCAAGTTTATTCGCACAATGAGGAAGTTCGACTGATGCTCGAGAATGAGCGACTAGTTTCGTTCGTTTTTACGACACGAGAATGATGAATCTTTATATAGTCACCGTACCGTGATTTATAGGCAAAGTTTTATTACGAATATTTACTGCTAATAATTCATTCTTAGTTTTAATACGAAGCGCTTGAATGAATACATAATTCTTAATCAGTGCAACTGCTTCAAACCACTTTTTTCTTTAAAAACATTCACGTAATATGGATATTTATATATATAATATGAAAAAAATATACTAAGAAATATAATTTTTTCATAAAATGTAATAAGTCATTATTATACAACTTTGTCTATTGTTTATACAAATAACACATAAATATTGATCATGATAACACATATATGATTAATTTTAATATAAAATGAGTGTCTGTATTCACAAAAATAAGAAAAGTAAATTTCTAATACTATAAAAAATTACATGTATATTTATATGAAATTAATATTTATTTAAATTAACTTTTTGGTTTTTTTTTGCAGATGGCGTGGCTCCGTTTACAAGTTAATTTGGCGGGAACTACTGGCGTATCTGTTCTTTTACTACCTCATCAATTTTACATATCGATACGTGCTCAATGACCAGCAGCGGGTGTGAGTAAATATGCATGTCCCTGGAATTAAACAATAATTTTCATAAATTTTGTTCTCTGCAAGTTGGAATTTCAAAAAGGGTATAGATAAAAAGATATCTTTCGTAGTAAAATATTTTTTTTATATTGATATTAGCGAAATGATGCATGTCGTTGAAATAAATCTTCTCATCTTTTGTGTGACGTGTGATTATTAATATATAATAACAATAATTTTAATTTTATTTTTTTGCAAATATATAATCGTTTCAGACGATAATGCCAGATTTTAATTCAAGGCAGTATACAACCGAAAACAAATATATTACACACATACACACACATACACATAAAAAACACACATATGAATAAAATTGGAACACAGGTAATCTTTATCTCTTGAGCGTGGAAGGTGAACAGCAATAATTTTGCATTTTCTGTTATTTACCAATTCGTTGGTCGCGTTTTTATCGTGCATAATGCTGAATTCAGTGGCGTTATTCATGTTCGGCCAGCTATGGTGCGTAGTTGTATCTGCTATAACCGAATTTTATGGATGTAGATAAACCTATACAACAATAACCTTGGTCTGTTGGCAAATCTAAAGATTCCGGCACCTCGATCACGGTCGCGTTTCATCGACTAATGTTCAAAAATTTACAATATCCTCTTTTTATTCATCATTGGATTTTTTTGTCATGCAGAACTCTCAGTAACTTTTTCTGCCTTCATGATGATCGATGATCAATTGATTATCGATTGTAGAACCAAGGAATTAAGCAACGTACGAAGGTTTATTGTACATTTAAATAAATAAAATAAACTGTATAATTATAAAAAAATTATTGCCTAATGTTCTTATATTATTACCTAATATTAAAATATATATTTGAATATATAACTGATACATGATGATACATTTATACTTACGGAATTATGATGCTTGCGTATAAATATAGCGTCCATGAATTATATGTGATACATGAAATTATTTTTTATTTATTATACAAAGTGTTTAAAAAATTGTTATATAGCCATTACTAACTTATTTAATTAATAACACATTTATTAATAAGAGCGTAAAAAGCTTGAAGCTGTTTTTAGAGATTTTATCAGTTATATTACCAGAAGAGTTGAAGAAAAAATAAAATTAACAAAATAAAATTAAACAAGTTAAAGCATAAGTTTACATATTTATGGAAGTCACTTCTAACATCATTTTTAAAAAAAGATTAATTTATTAATAATGTTTGATAAGTAATCTTTTTTAATATTTGATAAGTAATCTTTAATATTTAAAAGATATTTGAGATGTGTATAGTTATACTTTTGAAACATCTTATATTATTTATTATTATTTTTTGAAAGGATTTTTTTCATGCATCCTGTATGATACACATCACGATATATCAGGGAACGTGTTAGAGAAGCGTTCGTGCTCGGCATTAAAAAAAGCATAAAAGCATAACCTGTTATTTATGTGAGGCTGAAAAAGGGAGATAAAAAAACTCAAGAATGTAAAAAAGATTTCTCCTTTAAATCATTTCGAGTCCACGCTAAATTTAGAACTGCAGGGATGGTCCAACATGCCTAAAAGGATGAGCGACCCAACATTGTTGAATAGGATTGCATGCAGTGGGCTGCGAGATTAATCGCGTCCTTCGTTAAGACTCTAAAATTCTTTTCGCGTTTAAATTTATTTAAGAATTACTACCTTCCACGTAGTTATAAAAAACTTTTATCACTTTCTGTTGTTACCTTTTTTAGTTAAATGTTAAATATCCTTGCTGTTTCGCACAATGTGTTATCTTGAAAAATATTTTTATACTCTCAGATTATTTTTGGATGTCTTGTATTTTGGCGAAAGTATTTATACCACTACGTTTCTCAAATAATTACGTATGGTTACCACAATATCAGTTTCTCGTGGCCATGATATTGTACGTTCAGGTAACGGTAAGTCAATATTACCTCAAGAGTGCGAATGCGGTACCAGTTATACTTGCGGAAATTCCAACATAAACCTACTTACCGGAAGATCCTGGAATCGCGCGTTAATCGCTCAAACTTGATGTGCAAAGTCGTAAAGATGAATATGGCTACTTATACGTGGTGATTACTTTTCTTTAAAACGATTTACTGGGAGGCAATAACCGACATTGATGAACAGAGCGTCGAAGAGTTGAGAATCAGACTTATCTCGAATGCTTTCGATGAAGCAAATATGCGGTTTCGCGATCATTTGCAAAGACAAAAATTTTTATTTAATATCGATTAGCACTTAATATAAACTAAAACTAACTAAAGCGTAAGTGCGATAGAAATATCATGGTGAGTGACAATATCACTTTAACCTTGCTCCACTTATGTGTAAGTTCACAGAAAATTCTATCTTATATGTGATAAACTTTAGCGATAGAATAAGAAAGAAAGAAAATTTAATTTAGCTTTCTACTATTTCTCATTAAATATTTTTTAATTTATATTTTTAAATTATTTTCTTCTTTAGTCTCTCATATTTCTTAATTATATAATAACATATGTAAATTCAAGAATTTAAGTAATATAATTAAAATAAGTAGAAAATTTTATTTACATTTTAAAATATTAAAACAAGAAAATAAAAAGAGTGCAGAAAATAAAGAGAGAAAAATAAAGTGCAGAATAAAAATTGGAGTAATTTTGCATGTGTGTAAGAAAAATTGTATTTAAAAAAATATTCTTCTTCTTTCTTTGCAGAATTTTCGAAAAGATCCGTTATTATTTCGGCAATTCCAGCGAATCCATACCCATGTCATTCGTTTTGGGATTCTATGTGAGCCTTGTTGTGAAAAGGTGGTGGGAGCAATACAAGCTCTTGCCCTGGCCAGACAATCTGGCCCTCTTCATCAGCGCCGCCATTCCTGGAAATGTAAGTAGAACCTGCCCGTCGAGAAGAGACTTCTCTTGTTGGTTTCCATTGTGATTAAAAATACAGTGGTAGCGGAGCGTTCTTCGTGGAAGAATAAACGTTATTTTCGCTCGCGAACTGTTGCGATAAAAACGAGACTCCCGATTAGATAAAAATTTAAAGAAATTTCAAACAGAAATGTCTTTCTAACGAAATAATGCTTTCTTTTTCTTTGAATGGGAAGACTCATAGTAGCCTAATAAATATAGCCTTGATAGTCGCTCGTGTTACGCTCGGTCTTATTACGCTAATGAATTGCCATGACACGTTTTGGTGTCGTTAACCTAAGCAAATGCCAACCTAGTCACGCTACGTCCAGAAGCGAAAAAATATGCGGGACGATGATCCTATAATTGGCAGCTTGGTGGATTCACTTTTTCATTCTTTTGCGTAACTAATATATGAATATGAAAAATGAAAAGTTCCCAAGACATGCATTATTCGTCAGAACCTTGACTTTTGTCCCATTTATATACGTAATTTAATAGTGATAGCTATAGTTATTTAACGATAAGACTCATTTATTTTAAAAATAAAATGCAATTATTTAGATAATTTCTATACAATTGAAGCTATGACATACAAGCTAAAAATACATCTTTTTAAAGTTCTTAATTTTTTTAACAATTTTTCTTTTACAAAGGCGTAATATTTAGTCACTCATTTATTTTTAAAGTATAAAATATAATTATTTGGATAATTTCTATATAATTAAAGCTATGACATACAAGTTCAAAATACATCTTTTTAAAGTTCTAAATTTTTTTAACAATTTTTCCTTTACAAACACACAATATTTAATTATTTATATTCAACAAATACAATTAATGGTTAATTATTTTTTTTTAATTCTTCGATGATTCTGTAGAGAGTAGGAGAGCTTCAATTTGGACAGTGAATTCGATGCAAGCTTTCAGCTCTGGTCAATGACTCAGTATCGGAGTGAAAGTGCAACGTATCGTGGCGAAAAAGAACCTACGATGAACCTACGCATCGAGCATATTTCGCACATACATACATATATACACGTATACATACGAACATTCTTCTTTAACGATTCATAATTTCACCGTTCATAATTCTGAATTTAATAAAATATATGTAGCATCCATTGATTAAGCATCGAATGCTAAACTTATATTTTACATATTTAACATATAATCCTCCAATTGTTACCGCCGTTACACTAATAGAGTGAGAGTCGATCAATCGCCACTAAATCGATTTAATCGTTTCGTTATGTAACTTGCCCTCTTCACCTTCCTCGTTTAGACCAATATTAATTTCAGATACTGAACTGAACGGAGCAGGTATTCAGAATGCAACAATTTTCGAGAAAGTATCGAGAAAAAGCGGTTTGATTATACACGATGTCCTATCAAGTATACAGTTATTTTTGTTAAAATATCGTAGGTCTTTAAGCAAATTAGAGAGAGGAAGGGGAAGCTGTTGCATTACGTTGCAGAACACGATGAAATATCGAAGTATTTTTGCAGACATGGTTTTCTGATGTTTATTATTATACATTACAACGAGGAAAGATATAAGCACTTGCATTACCGCATAAATTTCGCTGCATTCCGTTTATCACCTTTGACTGTCATTTCATCTTTATACGAGAAGCATTATTTATATACTTCTTTAATCGATGATTCACGGATTATCGATTAACAATCGATTAACATCTCGATTTGCGGTAATTGTTTTGACTTCATCAATAAATTTATAGAATCACAAGAATATTTAATTTACATTATTTACAAGTAAAATTAATATGTCAGAAAAAAATAGATACATTTATGTGTCGCTAAAAAATATAAAGTTAAAATGGAAAAATAATCTCTTATCTCTAAGTCTATCTATGATTTTTAAAACTTGAAAAAATTAAAATTACACGATACCTCAGTTATTGTAATTGATTGGTACGGTGTTTCGTAAATTTTCGAAACACAGCGTAAGATGTGTACAATTGCACGCTTAGAATGCAATAGATCTCTAAGAAGAGCTCCGATGGAATTTTTGCACGTAGGTGGGGGACAAGGTCCTTCAGCCACGGAACAAACTCACAGTTATACGTACATTAGTGGTCATGTAATCGCGTAATACAGAGTGTTCGATTTGTGAATGAGCGGTACCGCAACGGTCAACACAGGCTGTGCCTTTCATTGAAATCTAATTGGGATGCAAGTCCCGAGACGAGACGGTCGGATCATTTCCAAGCTGCCGAGTCGGGCATTTTTACACGCGCGACGGTAAATCGCAGAATTTTGAGGAAGAGAGCATGTACACTCGTCTTTCATTTTACGTGCAAATGAAAGGTGACGAAGAAGCCATTGAGGAGATAACGTGGTATCCGAAAATCGGATGGCGATCCAATTCGGAAAGGCCAGAAATGCGAAAAGAAGAAAAAACTTTATCTCTAGAATTAAACATTGTTATCATTTCGAAATATTTTTCAACGTGATTGCAATTGTAATCAGTAATGCTTGGCGCAATCTTTTATGAGAGCTCTACGTGTCCAAGAAGGTTTATTAGCTAATCATCATTAAAGAACGCGAGGAATGAGTCCGTAGAGATAGATCAATCAATTTGTGATTATAAAATATTGACTCGCGTATCTTGTTTTCAGAAAGAAAAAAATACTTTATAATCTCATAAAGATAGAAACCGATGTTTCTTAATTAATCTATATATCAGCCTTAACTAAGTTTTTAATATCAATGTAATGTGTAAAACGTTACGAAAATTTATTTTTAATACAAATTAAGCACATTTTAAACGCATTGATTTCTTAACAATTAATTTATTTCATGTACATAAAGTTTTATAAAAGATCTACGGAATATCTCGATTATGCAATTCTTTGATAAATGAATCGGACATGAAAACGTTTGTTATATTTTTTATCATATTATTTTACAATTATAATTTTGCACATACGGAAGAACCCCACGTCCATTTCCGATCAATTTGACATTCTGCCAAGCAGTTGCGACCGTCGGTGGATTATAAAACGTGCGATCGGTTACAAAAGTGCACATCAATGTCCAAGAACAAAAGGAGAAACAGCAGGCGCCACCAGGTTTTCTGCGATTAATACTAGAACAGTTTAAACGGTGGTGTATGCAGCGAACGTGTTTGCGGGGGCGGGAGCGTTCGTAATGTCTGGCCAAGAAAACAAGGGGAAAGTATGTACGAGACATGAAAACGTGTCTGGCATTCGTTTGGAAATAAATTTTGAAGTCAACGCCATTCTCGCCGATACCGATTTATTGCAAATTCACGACATCTTTATTGAAATGATTTTTATGAATTTTTGCGTATATATGGCGCATCAAAATTGTCTCTCATATGTTTAATTTTATTTAAAAGGAAACATTTTATAAAAGAAAACTTAAAAATTATGTTTAGAAGTTAAACTTTTAGAAGTATAACTTTTTAATTTAACTAATAAAGATTAACATATTTTACATTTTTAAAAATAAAAATCATATCTTTACGAATATATTTTATTCGAATATGTTATCTATGTATATATCTATCCTATACAGCACAAAACATTGCAGTAATATTGCAGTAATATTGCAATATTGCTGCAATGTTACAATAATATTAATAATATTGTTATAATATTTTATTGTATATAATATAGTTAAAACAATAAAAATTGTTTCTAGCTAAATAAATCTCTTAATACATAAATAATAATAAAATATATTTCAAAAGAGATATGATTTTGTATTTCAAGAAATTTTTATAAAATGTATAATCTTTAGTTGAATTAAAAATCTTTATTAGTTGAATTAAAAAATGAAACTTTTAAAAATAAAATCTCAGAAAACATATAATTTCTAGTCAATTAAAACAATCTATATTATTTGTGAAAATATTAGTTACGCAAAGGGAATAAATTAAATTTAATAAGAAAATAAATATATTGAAGGCCTATATCTTAAGTTTATCAATGAGATATGCAAAGTATAATTAACGTTCTTTTGTATGTCTGTTTTTAGGATGAACGGGGGCGGTTGATGAGACGTAACATCGTGAGGTATGCTGTGCTCGCGTACGTCATTACGCTGCAAAGAATTTCGCTTCGGGTTAAGAGGCGTTTCCCGACGCTTCAGCACATGGTGGATGTAGGTCAGTAAATTATATTTTTGGAATATATGTTTAAGCAACATTAGCATGCAAACTACGGGATACGTATAGATACTCCTTCAAGATTCTCGCTTTCCAATATTAATCATAGTGTAATATTTAAAATTAAAGCATAGGAGAGAGATGTATTTTATAAAATATTTTCGAGATCATCATTGCTTCTTTTATTATCATTGATGATCTATTAAAAACATGTGTAGGTCTGGATCAAATTGACAAATCTCTCATTACGCAATTATGATTCCTCACTATCATTCAACAGCCAGTAATACAATCAATAATTACAACGTTGACAATAGTACGATCGCTTGAATTTTTATAATTCGTTAGTTGTCCAGCTATTCTTGCCACTGATGAATGCAACGGATGAAGATAATAATGTCGCACCTGCATTGAGCAAAGGTCGCTTTCTTCTTTGTGCCGAAGCACACGGCTTTCTTATCACATTACATGTCGCCGTTCCATTAGTCGGCGTGTGTCGGCAGACAAAGCCGTTCACCACGTCATCCATAAACATATAATATAATGTTGCTCCGCCGCTTATGCCATGACAGCCTGGCGCAAGGACAGCCTGGTAGTTCTGTCTTTTTCGCCACTCTTCGAATGCAATCGCAAGCGATATCACGATCATTAAAAGTCCTGCGCTTCTGTTATGCTAGACCTTGTCTTTGCGATTTGCTTATGATTCATGAATAGCGTAGATGTGGAAGATACGTCAAGTTCGATCGATCAAATTTCTTTACACTATTCATGAATAAATAATAAAAATGCGCAAGTGTAGTTTGGTGACTTTAGCTATCGTGCAAAATAATGACCTGTACCTGAACAAAGTCACGTGTTAACGGTACGGCAAAGATTGAATAAAACGCGCGCAATTTATCGAGTGATTCTTTCAGGTTATCAATTTTTATCTTACCCGGACACGTAAGATTTATTTTCTGGATTGTCACATTATTTGAATTGTTACGTTTCCGCAACATCTATCGTCCTCTCTAAAGAAGCCCGCATGTCGAGATGTTTAGTTTTTATATTTTTACCACCCGGCTGCTGCAGCGGATGCTGCTCCGTTCCAGAAATAGCTTGCATTTTTTCAATGTGAGAACTGTGAATGTTTCATGAACATGAGAATACCGTCCATCTCTCGAGCAGGGAATAAATAGTGGAATCTACGATAAGAACTCCTATTCTTTCGTAGAAATGATTAACTTTATGGCGATGCCACGAAAGAAATGCACGACGCGTTTACGGCAAAGAAGCTCGTTCTCAGGAGACGAACAGGATCTAACTAGAAAACAAGATTGGTCTGGCAGCTTGTTCTGTAATAGTTCCATTATTGCATGTGTGAAAAATACATCGCATTTTTCCATAAATAGAATGATGTCATTTTATTTAATTTTATTGGAAATAATCGTTAATATAAAGAAATCATGATTAAATGATGAAACTGAAGTTAAAAAATGGAACGTTAAGAATTCTCTTATGGCACGTGCATTACAAAGTATATAACAATTCATACATTGCGCAAGCAAAACATTATTTGTATGCATCTGAAGAAAGAATGAGGAAGTATATGTATGCTAAAATGTGTGTGTCGCAATATTATAAAGTTTACTTTGATATCAGCAAAAAAGAACACATATTTTCTGAATTTTTACATTAAATCGACATTTAAATGATTGAATATAAAATATATTTATTATTTTGATGATTTTACATCAATTTAAATTAATGAAAATAATTTAAATGTGAAAAGAATAACTGCATTTTTAGCTTCAGATTTTCCACAATATATTCTAATATATGCAAAATGTATTCAATAAATAGATAATTAAAAAATTAGAATTTTTAATATAAAAAGGCAAAAGCAAAAAATTAGTCAAATAAATGTAAAAGAAAAACGCAATATTATAAAATTATTTTCTTCTTGAAATACACTTTTTATGATAATGTTTTCGAACACGAAAGGCGAAATTACAAGCCAAACAGATTGCGCAAAGATGATGCAAAAACTTATATTAAATCAAACAAACAACATATTTCCGGTGAAGAAAATGTATGTTACATCGTGAAAGTAAATATCGCATTGAAGCTTAAAATAGAATAACACGTGTATGAAAATATAGCGCGTAAAAGACAAGGAATAAATTTCTAATCAATCTTTTCTTTACTTCTCCATATCTTTAATCAATATACAAAGTTGCGCAATAAATAATGTACTGCACATTTAATATGATAAAGACGCAAATAATAAATTTCGCAAAATTAATTGCAGTCAACAGATATCTTTCTGAGAAAGATATGCCGACGCAAAATTGCAACAAACGTCATTCAAAATGATTTCATACATTTGCGTGCACGATGAACCATCGATGGTGACATCAATCAAGTATTGTGAAAGACATAAAATAAATATGTCGCTATGACTCGGTACATGCTGGTTTAAGAAGCACATTATAAAAAAAGCCCAATTCCAACAAGAAAATACATAAACTTATAATTTCTGCATCTCACATTTTTAATAATTTTTTAAATAAAATTAAACAAATTAAATAATGATAAAAAAAATAATTTGAAAATTTTATTCACGAATATAAGATTTTTGTATTAAACCTTTTATAATTGCATTTGGATTCTCAAGAACGGAAAGTCGCCTTGTCGCTGCAACGGAGAACGACCGCGGGAAATTATATAGCGATGAGAAGAAATCTCGAAACGTCTTTTGAAAGTAGACGAAATTATCCACGTGTACCGATTCTCCCCGGGGAATTGCAATCTGAAAATCGTCAGGCGCCACGAGACGGTATCTCGTACGCCGCCAGGCAATTTTCACGTGCGTCCAGGTAATTTTCAACGATCGCGCTTAGAAACGCCGGAGCGCCGGCGCCAGAGAATTCTCCTCGTCCTTTTCCTTTTCCTTTCCGGCGTGATCTTCTCGTTTTGCAGCGCGACCGGACCTGCTTCTTGCGGCAACATCTCTCGTTTCTATTCCTGGTGCCGAGCAGACGTTCCTTCTTGCCCGCTTCAACCTCTTCGTCCTCGTCCCGCGCATCGTTCTTGTATGTCGTTCTTTCCCTCTCTTCTGCATGCAGAAATAACCCGGCGCGATTATGAGCGATCTGATGAGATGCTGCCGTGCGTGCCGTTCGATAAGATAATCACCGGTCGTGTCTTCGATTTCCTCGATAAGTCTTGGTCGATCTTCTTGCGGGCCTTATTTGCTCTCTTTTCTCTCCGTATCACTATCCATTGATTTTCACCGTTAACACGATGAGCTCTTCCCTCAGGCTCCGTCATAGATATCACTTAGCCACTTGAAAAGCACGCGAAACTCGTGCATTAATAATACGCCATGCATAGGTAGTAAATGCACTAGCTGCTAGCAGGTTAATGGGACCTAGATGGAATTATAATTTTTCCGCGAAACGCCTGTCCGTCAATCCGTGCGAGGCGGATCTGTTAGATTTGTTCAAGAGCAATCCTCGTGTTGCTCTGTCGGATGCCAGGATGAAACTCGGCCGCGAGCGATTGTGGAAGTTATCTTGGGATCTGTAAGAATCATTGCAGTTAGATCGCACGAGACTAGATGTTAAATATAGCCAGCGTAATGGGAGCCATAATCTAGCCGCGACTGCAGGTGGTAATCGGCTAGACTCGCCGGTATCTTGCTGACGATACGTACGCAGCTATTTCGCTTCCTTCAGCATCTCCGCCAGTCACGGAGGCTGCGGGGATCGCGCTGCTAGTGATCATCATCATCATCATTATCATCATCATCATCATAATCATCATTATCATCAAGATCGTCATAATTATCATCATCGGTGGCGTCCTCAGGCTGGGGCCACGTCGGCGGGAGCAAAGCAAGAAACTCAAGAATTCGCGCTTCTCCTCTTCCTTTTCTTTTCCCTCTTTCTCCTCTTTTTCCTTTCTCCATGCAAGTTCGACGGACGTAATACGCTGATGGGCGCGCAGCACGCGTTACCTATATTTAGAACAAATTATTGTCCCAGGCAGAATTTCTCCGCGATTATACCAGACGATCGGCGGCGCGGGCTCAATCGGCAAGAAAATAATTACGTCCGGATATAGTAGCTTCGAGAGCATACTTCCATCGCGTAGATCAGATAAGAGGCAGAAAAGACTGCCGACGGGTTTCGAAAGAATTTCACGGTAACCGAGGCAAAATAGAGAAGAAATCTATGGGTATTAATTAATCTCGCCAAGTATATAAAGGCGACATTACGCGCAATTATATGCACAGTAAAATTGGCGTTTTCTCACGGCGAATGTCACGAACGCCGCGAATCATTTAATCTAGAAAGGAAAATATATATATATATATATATATATATATATATATATATATAAATCGAAGTCCCTCGTAATTGATGTTTCACGGATAACGGATTCCTCCGCGGTTTATTCGTAGAACTCTCTGACATTCTCGAGTTCCTCGAGGAACAGTTATATTGTGCGACTAGGTCACGTGAACTTAGTTATATCCTCAACTGGGTGCCAGCCTCGAAAGAGCGGAAAATCTGTCAACTTTGTCTCGGCGTAACGTTCCGTAGACATCGGCCTTGGGGAAGGTCGGATCTTGACCGTGCTCACCTAAATGAGGGAAACGAGAGAACGAGGAGAAACGCGTTGGACTCTCGGAATATAAGATTTCTTAATCGTTTGACGGCCGTTGAACCTCTCCCGCATGACACATGCGAAAATACGATGCATTCCCCGCCACCCTTCCCTCCTTTGGGCGAACTAATTTATTCGCGGGACAAAATATTATGAGAGAGAAAAATTACGAAATCTTTGATTATTACGTAAAGCGAGAAATTCTTTTTATTTCTCTTTATTTAGTATGCGATTATTCGATATTTTTTTATTGATAGCAAATTCTTTTCGTCGTGTTCAAAATTAACTACGTTTTACAGTAATTTTAATTGAACATTTTCAATTCTCATGCACATGGTATCGTTGCA